TTCTCAAAAAAAAAAAAAAAAAAAAAAAAAAAAAAAAAAGTATGGTAATACTTGAATGCTTTTTCTGTAAAATAACTGCACTTTCATTATCTAGCAATAATACATACTCTTATCAGCTTCTGTTAACAATGTCATTAACTTATTTCAACGTAGAAATAAAACTGAAATTGGGAGTAGATTCATAACTTTTGGCCCGGCCCTCCACAATATTTTCTGCTTCTCATTTGGCCCCCCCAGGAAAATAATTGCCCACCCCTGGAGTGGATCCTTTAATTTCCTTCCTCCATTGTCCTTTGTTTGCTGTCATGTCGTTTGTTCAAAATCCATGTTTCCAAAGCAAGTCTTTGGAAGAACGTAGTGTCTACGTTTTTCATCAACGTATGTCGTACTCTTGGTGAGTAGATTGTTTTCGACACTTGAAAAAAAAAGGATTTCCAGATGAATGTGCAGTTGAAAACACAAATGATCTTGATTTATTGTCCATATTTTTCTGTATGGAATGCACTGTTGTATCCGATCCAAAATAATAAAGCAGACAAAAAATATATAGTTTGAAAAAGGCTTTAGTTGTCAGCAAAAAAATCCAAGGTCTAAAGACTATGTGCTTCCCAGCCACAAACTCCCGCTAATAGCGCAGGCACTTCCTTTAAAGTTAAAGGACCTCCATACCTTTAGAGGGAGCACACTAAACAGAAATTACTATCACACATAGCAAATGAGGAGTTGATTGTCAAAAAGGGATAAGATAGAAACTGTCTTCTTTTCCAGGACGCGCATAGTGCTGCTAAATACCTTTAATCTGGCAGAGGACACCATCAACAAAAACAATGTGCTTGACTGGATTAAAATACTCAATTCGACATACCCGGAGCAGTTTGCTGAACTTGGCAATCAACTGGAAACCTGTGACCTAAATGATGAACTAGACACGGTATGTTCTTCATGTTACTCCCTTTGCATTGGTGTTACAAGGCAATAAATGCTTCTTTGTTTTTAGTCATGCATGGTCAGTACCTGATATAGATATGTTGGAGTAGGTGCCCCTCTGCTGCTGCATGAGTCAATTTGGTATGATTAACAAACCAACCAAAACTTTTGATCAAACTTTTAGCACTACACTTTTCATTCTGGGTGGAAGTTTATTTTTTTAATGTATGTAAGCATGCTCTTGTATGTTAATTAAAATCCATCCATCCATCCATTTTCCGATCCACTTTATCCTCACAAGGGTCGGGTGGGGGGGGGGAGCGCTGGAACCTATTCCAGCTGTCTTTGGGCAGTAGGCGAGGGACACCCTGAACCAGTTGCCAGCCAACCGCAGGGCACAGAGACACAAACAGCCACCTGCGCTCGCACTCACACCGAGGGACAATTTAGAGCAGGCATGTCCAGCTCTGGTCCTCGAGGGCCACTGTCCTGCCTGTTTTCCAGCTCTCCCGGCCGCAACACACCTGATTCAGGTGATCAACTCATCATCCAATCCTGATTATTTGAATCAGGTGTGTTGCTCCTGAGAGAGCTGGAAAACAGGCAGGAGAGTGGCCCTTGAGGACCGACTTTGGACACCCGTGATTTAGAGTGTTCAATAATCCTGCCATGCATGTTTTTGGAATGTGAGAGGAAACCGGAGTACCCTAAGAAAACCCACTCAGGCACGGGGAGAACATGCAAACTCCACACAGGGAGGCTGGAGCTGGAATCAAACCCTGCATCTCCGCACGGTGAGGTCGATTGCAAACGGCTGACCGCTAACAGCCTCCGGTGATGCAGGTCAAGTTTTTGTGAAAGTGAAGCTGATAGGATGCTAAGGGTGCAGTGTGCACTAACACACACACACACAAAAAAGTAATATTGATAACAGACACAGTGACACACAAATCCCCCCCCCCCCCATTTCCTCCTACACTCCTCATGATTGACTTGGGACCAGACTGCGGGCTAGTGGTCGATCGCGAACGACTGGTTGAGCACCCCTGGTCCATCTGTCCATTTTCAACACTGCTTATCCTGAACAAGTCGTGGGAGGGTGTTAGAGCCTATCCCAGCAGACTTTGGGTGAAAGGCGGACTACACCCTGAGCTGGCAAATGAGCCAGGCAAATGATTAGAATAGTGTGGATAATTGACATTTTAATCACTTTAAAGTGCCACCTGCACGGATCCTCCATAACAAAGAGTCGCTGCTCATTAAAAATGTCATATGATGGCTTGGTGAGGAAGTGCTTAGCACAATTGAAAATAACATCAATTGTTGATTTAATGATCAAGACCGAGCCATATTCCTTCCAAGATTCTATTTAACCTTTATCACTTCTTTCTTGAGTAAACTTCATCTTCGGACACAAGTTTCTAAGGGGCCGAATCAAAGTAGATTGGAGTCAAAAACTCTGATCACTGAACTCAGTTTTTTTTTTCTCTCAACTGTTTTAGGCAGTCGAAGGGGTTGGTCTTGCTTTCATTCTGTACAGTGAAGCCATTCAAAACATGCCCCTGCCTCAGATATGGTCAGTGCTGTACTTCTTCATGCTTCTGATTCTGGGACTAGGTAGCATACTGAGCACCGTGAGTGCCATCACCACGTCACTGCAAGACTTGAAGATACTTTCTAAAGTTAGCACTGAGGTGTTAAATGGTAAGACTTGGAAATATATTGTTTGACACACATATTTGTTCTTTTTTTTTTTTTTTAGTTTACCGGTTTGCGCTGCACAACATAAGCTGCATTTATGTTATATATGCGGGGACATTTATTTATAGAAACAATTGCGTCGGGTAGACCAGTCTAGTGGGCTAAATGTTTTTCAAAAGGCTCAAATCCAGCGTGCAAACGTTATTAGTGAGTTAATTTGAACTGCCCACACATTGTTTTCTAGTAACACCTTGCTTTTTGTTTTTGTTCGAGACACTTCATGCTGTTTTTGAAAGGTACACACCCAAGAAAGTAGCCCAAATACAGCAACGATCTAGAATGATGCATGTATTTACAGATCATTTTTCAATGTGTTGCCAAAATCAAAAGTCTCATGCAAGTGAGTCAGCCCTCATTCCCGGTGGGAGAAAGTCACATATGTGCAAATAACAAGCAAGTCTCTAGTCTTATAGGAGACAGGTTAAATCGGATACCTCCTTCACGGTTCAGAGAGGGTGAAAATTTTTTGAACAAAAATCGCTTCCTTTACTCCCCTTTCAAACCATCTCTTTTCTGTTCCTAGGATTTTTACTTGTTCATCTTCAATTGTGTGGTTTGTTTCTTTTAAGTGTGCGTATACTGCACTATCAAATTTGACCTGTCTCCTATTTACAATAACTTGTTGACCACCAAGGGACAGAGACATGCTGATCAGGCTAACTGAAAGTAGCTATTCAGCCCTAGCCCAAACAATAGGCCTAATCAAGACCCAACGATAGGGAATTTAGAAATCTATGGGCCTCTTCACCATAGGGGCGTGACTAACCATCCCCACCCAGTCCTCAAATAGGCCACGCTCAGCTTTTTAGCGCAGAGCAATTTCCCGGAGTCTTCACGGAGACTTCAGGGTTGTCTACCGCTGACGAAGCTTCTGTGAGAGAAGCGAAACGTCCTTTTTTGTTTTTTGTTTTTTACCCACAGGTACAGATGACGACTGACAGAACCCTTTCTACGATGGAACTTTCCTGTACGACTGAGAGCCTCCACAAGCATCTTGTGTTGTTTTTATTTTTATTTTTTTTGGGGGGGGGGCTCGTTTTGGCTTGTGCCGTGCCTTTACATGACGTGGAAATTACGCCAATTGGCTGTTGCAGACGAGGGACGGACTGGGCCCCGTGAGTCAGCCAGAAATACTGCTCCAAACAGTGACGGACTGACAGGCATTCCGTCAATCTGACGGAATGTCTGGCAGCGAGCAGCTAGCCGTCTGGAAGCACTGCTGAGAAAGGGCCAGGAAATCAAATGGGGAAAGGATCTTCAAAACAGTTGTGTTGGCCGAGGTACCACTTATGAAAGATGGAATCATCTGCCACCTGCACCAAGATCAGGTCGCCCCTTAAACCCAGTTGGTTACTGATCAACTTGCAGGTGTGGGTGAGTGTCCTCCAGAAACTGTGCCGCCCAGCGAGGAAAAGTAACCAAGTAATGTGGCACAGGGAACTAGGAACAAAATTCAATAAAGTCAGCCAGTGCATAAACACCATTTTGTTCTTGTTTTACACCTCAGTTCCTTAGTAATACTCTGTACTTGTAGTTATTTATATATTTGTTTGAATTGAAGACATACGTCTGTGGTTTGTGAATAAATTAGCTCGTGACTAGGGGGGGGGGGGTTGAGAAGCCCTATTTAACCCATGTCAAGTTTAGAACGCTTTGTCTTGTTTTTTTTTGTTTTGTTTTGTTTTTTTGTTTTTTTACTCTTGCTCCATGAACATTATTTTGGAGTGAAATGTTCGTGTTGTTGAACTACAGTGTACACAGACTGTATTTTATCATTTCCTTTGCGTCCAACAGCTCAACTGATGTTTATATTTTCTGCATCTTTATTCGAGTCCTCTTTCTCGCGGTCCCACTTCAGCTTTCGGACCAGCTTCTAACCGCTGTTGGCCTTTTTGTATCTATTGCTTGAAACAGCGTTTCTGGTGGTCTGCCGCCATGTGTCAGTGATTTAACGGTTATCAGCGGAGATGCCCCAAACTTTATTGGCCTACTGCACTGCACCTGTATGTATTTTAAAGTGGCCCTTTCAACCTTACGTTTTTCTGTATGCGGCCCTCAAACAAAAAAATCAGCAGAGATGCCCCAAATTTTATTGGCCCACTGCACTCTCAGTGTTCTTTCCCTTGGACTGTGCATTAGCTGCGTGCTCTGTGTTTTCCTTGCAGGGATACTGTGTCTAATCTTTCTGCTGTTTGGCCTGCCCTTTACCACCCCATCTGGAAATTACTGGTTTACCCTATTCAATGAATACGGAGCGTCTTTGGCCATGCTCTTTGTTGTCCTCATCGAGATTGTAATGGTCAGCTACCTTTATGGGATTAAAAGGTTTGTACAGTATGTTAGCATTCTTGCCTCTGCACGATGCATTGTAGTCGCTACAATGTAACAATATCAACAATACCTCTTGTTGAGATGATGCTATGATCGTTGTAGGTTTGAAAAAGACATAGAAGACATGCTTGGCCACCGTCCGAACTGGTACTTGAAGATCATGTGGATGGCAGTCAGTCCTCTTCTCTTAATGTTCCTCTTCATCTTCTACATTGTCAACTATATAAGAGGAGGGACACCCACCTACCAAGCATGGGACAAGGAGCTGGTAAACTTTTTTTTATTACTTAAATACAAAAAACTCTCAAAGTCTTTCAATGTGTGCACCCAACATTTGCAATCAATGAATGACATGCATAAAACGGCACACCCAGCCTGCATGGGCTAATAAAACACCAGTCCAAATGACTTTGCACCAAGACTGAAATAAAAAACAGGAACTTATGTCTTCTTCCTCCTGCACAAACATTGGTAATAACATTTGCAATTACAAAAACATCCAAATAATATATATGTTTTAATTTTTTTCCCCGTCTCACCAAGAGAACATATCAAGGTTGTGTTGTTTAATATCAGTAACCACACGCTCTCTTCGTTCATCAAAGTGTACAGTATGAATGATAATGAAATTCACTCTCCACGTCATTCAGGTCAGACATTGTATTATCTTCAGGAACATTCAAAAATCGACTAGTTTCAAAGGCCAAAGGCAAAAAAAAAAAAAAAAAGTTTTCCTTGCATTCTGAATTGTACTCACCCAACTTCACAACTGATGCTTTTCAGTGAAATCAATCCTCATCCAATTCAACGTTATTCACCTTATCCCATCGTGTTCCAATTTATTGATCAATCAATCTGTCATGAATTATGTTATGAATTGCCTTTGGTAGATCAATAAATAGTCTACGGTAATTTTTTAAATTGTCTATTGAGTCCAAAAGGCGTTCGATGTCAAGGCTTGTGAAGTTGAACAGTTTGTTCTAAACCCGTACGGACAATCGGAGAGGAGTTTATTTTTTTCTATAAATTGATCAAATCTGTTATTGAATAGTTTTAATTTTGGAGAATTCAGGAAGCAGAGCAACAGACCTGTAATTTATGAAGCTGTGTTTGTCAGCAGCTTTGTATACTGGGGTAATTTTTGCCATTTTCATTTTGTTTTTATTTTAAATTGATAAACAGTATCAATTACAGTTTTCAAAATCATTGATCTTGGGTTTCTTTCAATTTTCTTAATATCTATTTTACTATTTATCTCAGGATTAGGATTATTTTTTGCCTGATTTGGTCCAACATTTCCAAAGTATCTATTAAATGTACCAACAACATCATTCATTTGATCAAGATTGACATCATTTTCTATAAAATACTGTGGATAATTGTCCTTTCAGGAGTCCTTACTGATCACATTATTTATTATATCCCAGATCGCTGTCATATTTAAATTTTCGAGTGGGTTAAGTAGAATTTATTTTGCACGGGCAGCACGGTAGTCGACTAGTTAGCACCTTGGCCTCACAGTGCAGAGGTGCAGGGTTCGATTTTGGCTCCGGCCTTCCTGTGTGGAGTATGCATGTTCTCCCTGTGCCTGTGTGGGTTTTCTCCGGGTACACCAAGTTTCCTCCCACTTTCCCAAAACATGCACGACAGGTTGTTTGGGCACTCAAAATTGTTGATAGGTTGGTAACCAGTTAAAGGTGTCCCCGATCTACTGCCCAAAGACAGGTGGGATAGGCTCCAGCACGCCCGTAACCCTTGTGAGGACAAAGCAGATCAGAAACTGGATGATGGATGGATGAATTGATGGATATCTCGCGTTCAAGTTGTAATGATATAAGTTCACAGCCGAGGGAAAGCATAAGTACAATGTGGCGTGGGATAAAAATGTGTGTGGCACCCCTGATAAATTGTGACCTGGTCATTTGGGGTCAAATGTAGGAAAATAATAATTAAATAGCAATCTATTGGCCCCAAAAGATGTTAGCCCTCCAGGCCTCCCCCCTGTACACCAGATGGCCAGTCCAGCCCTGCTTTTATGTCAAATCCAATTTTTTCATTCGACAGTATTTGGCCTTGCTGTTATGTTGTATTCAAATGAAAAGAAATGGATCATGTACTGTACATGGAACATGCAGACTGATTGTGAGATGACCATCTTTCTTTGCTCACTGAGGGCCGACCACTAACTGTATGCATCTATTGTTTCAGGGAAAGACGGTGGTGGCGGACTATCCTGTTTTTGGTCAAGTCTTCATTGCCATCCTGTTGGTGTCAGTCATCAGCTGTGTTCCCCTCACAGCTCTCCATGTGTACTGCATGAACAGGAAACGATCTAGTTCAATCAAGAATAGCCAATTGGAATGTGCTGCAGCCATAAAATTCTAACTTAATGATTATTTGGTGGACTTGCTCACAAAAAAAACAACCTATGACCAAAATGTTTTGTTGAGTTTTTTTTTTTTGATGCACAGGGTGGCTTTAAGAATTGGTTAATTGTTAACACTTCATTTATTATATTTTTCATCACGTGTTTTTCTTTTCCTAGAAAGCAAAAAGAAGTCCAAGTGTTGTTTGGTTTTTCTACTTGATTGTTTGAACACACATTGTACTTGAAGAACAATTGGTTTGCTCTTCCCTGTTTTATGCTTGATAATATTTGTTGGGAAGTGATAATCTTGAACATGTTCTTTTTACTCAAAATTAAAATGCAGAAAACTTCAATGACATTTGATCAAATTTGTTGTAACTATTGCACGACTTGTCAGGAAAAGTGGTTCAGATAATGGATGGATGGATCGCAGTTTCTGATTAATACCAGGAAAAAAATGTTTCCCACTTACGACATTGTGTGCTTGTTTATTTTAAAAAATCCAGACATTGACAATGTGTGGGTAAAAAACTGATTTTTAGATTTACAAAGAAACTTTGTCCTGGCATTTAACGGTTTAATAGTAAAAAGGCAAATGTCACACAAAAACACTTACAGGTCATGAAAATTAATTAAGAATTGGCAACTAGATAATCCATCCATCCATCCATCCGATTCCCTCTATCCTCACAAGGGTCGCGGCGGATGCTGGAGCCGATCCCAGCTGTCTTCGGGCAGGAGGCGGGGGACACCCTGAATCGGTTGCCAGCCAATCGCAGGGCACACAGAGACAAACACCCATCCGCACTCACACTCAACAATTTAGAGTGTTCCATTAACCTGCCATGCATGTTGTTGGAATGTGGGAGGAAATCGGAGTGCCCCAAGAAAACCCATGCAGGCACGGGGAGAACATGGAAGCTCCACACAGGGAGGCCGGAGCTGGAATCAAACCCTGCACCTCCGCACTGTGTGGTTGACGCATTAACCACTCGCCCACCGGGCAGCCCTAATGGATGAATTATCTAATGATAATTCATCCATCCATCCATCCATCCATTTTACGAACAGCTTTATCCTCACAAGGGTCGCAGGGGGTACTGGAGCCTATCCCTGCTGTCTTAGGACAGTAGGCGGGGGACACCCGAACAAGTTGCCAGCCAATCGCAGGGCACACAGAGACAAACAACCACTCACTCTCACACCTAGGGACAATTTTGAGTGTTCAGTCAACCTGGCATGCATGTATTTTGGAATGTGGGAGGAAACCGGAGTACCCGGAGAAAACCCACCCAGGCCAGGGGAGAACATGCAAACTCCACACAGGGAGGCCGCACCGGGATCGAACCCACGACCTCTGCACTGTGAGGTCAACGCACTAACCACTGGACCAACGGGCTGCCCATTAGATAATCAATCTACCATAATTCAAGTATAAAGTATAAAAAAGTATAGATCAATTGTAATGTATCTGTATCGAAATTGAGGATATTTTGTGTTTATTCTCTGTGTTTATTCCAGTAGCTGATCGATAACAAAGTAGTCAGTATTGCACACCTCTACTTGTTCTTCTTATTCATGTCGTGTCACACGCATCTTTGTTTCCATCAATTTGTTTCCCTCAAGCTTGTTTCGCCTTGACAAAGAAGACGTTCTTTTGCTGCAACCTCGTTGTCTGCTGCTGTGGCATCAGCGTAGATAAATAAAGAGAGATATAGATAGATAGATAGAAATGTACACACATACATACATCAGGGCTACCGACTGCTCCAAAATGGTGGCGTTTGTTCTTAAATTTTCAGGCAGTACAACTCTGTTTGCGAATGTTTGGCCAATAAGATGTGATGACTTCTTTTCTTTTTTTAATTAATTCTTTAATATTTTTTGTTTCTGACAAACTTCTGCTCCACACTTCCCCCCAATCGAGCAATAATACAGTGAAAATGAGTGGAATATATGAATGTTTGATGCGTTCAGAAAATAGATGGGTGGTTTCCAAATCATTTTGTGATTCATGTGCGGCCCTAAATTTCAGGTTAAGGGCCACTGTGCTCCTGTTAAAAAAACTTAGTCATAGCCATCTAGGTATTATATCTGCAGTATCTGGCGAGGATCACTATAATCTGTTTTGATTGTTGAAACCGCAGGACACTCAAGGACACTAAAGAAATAAGGAAACAGTATAAAAGACTAAAAAGCATTGTCAACTTTATTACATGTTTGATGTATCACAATATCTTTATGATACGATCATGAGATATGAAAGCTAAGCATTTGATTCGGTGATGTTTAGCAGACGTAAATGATTTACTCCAACGTTGAAGTCACGGAATGAATTAAAAACGGTTGTGCCATTCCTCTTTGTGGGGGATGAAGTTAAGACGTTGAAGAAATGGCCATCTTAAAATGCCACTTGAGATTAGCCTCAAAGTCTGGAAATTATAGACCTGCTGGGTACGCAGGCTCAGTTCAAACCTTTAACTCTCAAAGGAATGGAATTTCCCTCCTTTCAATGGAAAACCAGTCATGATTTAAAGGTCAACGCTGAACCAACACAGCTTAGCAAAACAAAAACACCCAAAATGGGTTACTGCAGGGCATGCTGTTAACTGAAGGCATGTTGACTGAGGTTGAATATACAAATACTGTAGACAAACAAAAAAATATCCAGTCACTTTTCATCAATTACATAATGTGGATCTAGATTATGTTAGTATTAAGTAATTTAAAGAATACCTAGCAGACCTGCATAAGATCAATATTGATTTCATTTTCTTGCAGGTAGGAACAACAACCATACAGCAAGCGGCATATACAACAGGGGTCATCAACACGGTGCCCGCGTGCACCATGTCGCCCACAAGGACTACACGAGTCGCCCGCGGACCTGTTCTGAAAATAGCACAACTTGCAAGTGCGTCAATCATACATTTTTCCTGCCGCTATTTTTTTTTTTAATCACATTTGTATTTATATGGGCGGTGGTCCAATGGTTAGCGCGTCGGCCTCACAGTTCTCCCCGGGCTTGCGTGGGTTTTTTTCCGGCTACTCCGGTTTCCTCCCGCATTACAAAAACATGCATGGCAGTCTGATTGAGCACTCGAAATTGTCCCTCGGTGTGAGTGTGAGCACGGATGGTTGTTCGTCTCTGTGTGCCCTGCGATGTCATTCTTTGTTGGCGATGACAGTCTTTGTTGGGTCATTGTGAGTGTGAGTATATGTGTGCTCCCGTCATAGTTTTGTTTGTTACTTTGGTTCCTTGTGATTTCCAGGAATTTGTTTGAATACTTCGACTTAGTGTTTTTCCAGTGTACTTATGTGTGTATTTTTGTTAAATATATTTTGTTCAGGGCGGCCCGGTGGTCCAGTGGTTAGCGCGTCGACCTTACAGCACAGAGGTCGTGGGTTCAATCCCAGCTCCGGCCTCCCTGTGTGGTGTTTGTATGTTCTCCCCGAGCCTGTGTGGGTTTTCTCCGGGTACTCTGGTTTCCTCCCACATTCCAAAAACATGCATGTCAGGCTGATTGAACACTCCAAATTGTCCCTACGTGTGAGTGTGAGTGTGAGTGCGGATGGTTGTTCGTCTCAGTGTGCCCTGCGATTGCCTAGCAACCGGTTCAGGGTGTCCTCCGCCTACTGACCAAAGACGGCTGGGATAGGCTCCAGCACCCCCCGCGGCCCTTGTGAGGATAAAGCGGATCGGAAAATGGATAGATAGATGGACATTTTGGTCAGTCCACGCTGCTCCTCCCTGCCTCCCTGCTTTTTGGAGTCCTCCAACTACTCCACCTGAATGCAATCCGTGACAGAAACTGGAGTACCTGAAGAAAACCCGAGAGAGAGAGAGAGAGAGAGAGAGAGAGAGAGAGAGAGAGAGAGAGAGAGAGAGAGAGAGAGAGAGAGAGAGAGAGAGGTGACGGGGTCATCCCTTTATAGTGAAAAGCATGCAAATTCACAGTCACGGACCCGTCTCATATCATGTTCCCCTTTTCTATGTTTGATTTTCACGGACAGATTTTTAGAAGCGTCCATCCATCCATTTTCTAATTCGCTTATCCTCACAAGTTTCGTGGGTGTGTTGGAGCCTCACCCAGCTGACATTCAGCAGGGGACACTCTGAACCGGTTGCCAGCCAATCGCAGGGCACACAGAGACAAATAAACATTCGCGATCACACTCACACCCAAGGACAATTTGGAGTGTTCCATTAACCTTCCATGCATGTTTTTGGAATGTGGGAGGAAACACAGGCATGGGTAGAACATGCAAATTCCACCCAACATTGAGAAGTTAATTTTCCAGTTATTTTATAGGGCTTTGTAACTTCCACGCTTGCCATTCACATTCTGCTTTCTACATTAACACATAATGGCAGCGTGTCAGTGATGTGAGATTGTAATAGTCTTGCAAAGCGTTATATGGCTTTAACTGTCAGATAATACAATACAATACAATACAATACAATACATCTTTATATAACGCTTTCACAACACCTGCAGCTGCAACACAGCACTTTACAGAACAGTTGACATAAAATGACAAAATTAAGATAACAGAACACACAGTATAAAACATAGTCATAAAATTGTATCAACTCTTCCTGCAGACGCCTTGTTGTTTGAAGCAGTTATAGATGAAAGAGAAGAGAATCAAAGTGTCCTTTCACCAGTGGATCAGCGACGTCATGCTCACAACGTGCATGATGTCCCTCCCACAGGTCTGCTACAAGCTAGGTTTGAAAGTAAAAAAGAAGCTGTAGCGTCCATTGACAAAAAAAGAGATTGGTTCACTCCTCCCCTCCCATTTAGATCAGCTTCAATTCCAAATACGCATCCGCGCTCCGCGTCGACGCTCCTCTCTCGTCATCCTCAGCTCCACCAGTCATCCATCCAGTTGCTGCGCCACTGTAGATTGTCCAATAGCACCGACATCTCCTCTGAACAAAACGGAGCAGTGAAAAATGCTGCCCGGACAAAAAAACGCCCCGGGGCTGTCAAGCGGCGAGTCAAATATTGCCGACATTCCCCCCATCGAAATCAGTGCTGGTACACGCGTGCTGCCGAGAAGGCGCAACAATCAAGCACAGATTCTTCTCCTTCGATGAATGTTGTGGCCAAAACGCTGAAAACAGTCCACAACTTGCACACGAGAGCTCTCTCTCTCTCTCTCTCTCTCTCTCTCTCTCTCTCTCTCTCTCTCTCTCTCTCTCTCTCTCTCTCTCTCTCTCTCTCAATCCACCTCAGAATTCAACTGCTTATTTCTGTCAGTAGTTAGATCAATAAACGGCAATGAGGCTTTCTTATTAGTGGTTCCCCATGCCCATGCCATAACAGTGTTCCTGCAAGGTTTATGAGACATGGGGTCTACTTTGGATTATGAGCTGTTCTTTTACTCATCCATTTAGTACTTCCTACTATTCTGATAAAGGTTAACCAGGTTTCAGCAGTCCAAAATTTGGAATCATACGGAGCCCCTAAGGGGACATGGAAGGAAAAGAAAAACTTTGCGTTCCCTCACAAAGTTTTGCATTCCCTCGCAAAGATTGGGAGATACTGTATGGCAAACTTTTTTTTTTTTGTAAGGGGACGCTCTTTTTTTAAATGCGAGTTTTTGTACTTCCGGGTCAGCTCTTTTGTTCAACCCTTGCTTCACGTCTTTCGTTTATTTGGAAACCGTATTCAATCTCAAGAACAGAGTTAATGTCTTTGTATTTCAAGCCAATTTCAAAGTAAAATTCAATTAAAGTCGCTAACAGGTGAAAACACAGTTACTCGGATGATGACCCGGAAGTACATCAACGCGCATTAAAAATAAAACTTTGCGATATCTCGCAATCTTTGCGAGGGAACGCAAAACTTTGTGAGGCACCGCAAAACTTTGCAAGGGAATGCAAAACTTTGCGAGGGAACGTTTAGGGGCTCTGTATAATCCTATACACAACTGGATCGTTATTATTTTTAAATAGATGGTTTATTTCAAATCTGTGGTGGTGCAATAGGCAATGTTGTGTCTGACTTATTCTGGATGCAACTGTACTTCGCTTTATACCGATCAATTTGGGTTGTGGGGTGGGGTGTGGGGTTGACGCATACTTAGAACTTGCCTTTCTATTGTCTGAATCTTACTCACATTTATCCATTTGTTAAAAATTTAACCACAAAGATTACAATTCCATTCGTGATGCAAAAGGTTTTCATAAAAACAGTCAACATTCGATATGTTTCTTTTTATTTTATTTGTATAGTTTTTTTTTTTTTATAAACTTTACCACTGAATGCATTTCATGATTTTTTTTTTTTTAATGGAAGATACAAATGTATACATATGTGGTTCTTCACATCAATTTGGGTCAGAACATGGAATATTATGATTCATGTGGATTCATATTGTATAGTTAAGACTATTTCAAAAAATCTATCTACATTATCTACATAGTTTACATTTCATATTTCAGAGGATATGAGGCAATGATGTCAGTACCTAATCATACTTTGTACAATGCAACTGCTCCAATGCATTTCAAATAAGATATTTACAAGGATACTACAGCAGATGTTGGGCCTGTTAAAACATACAATCAAGAACCGTATATAACATGAATAACATTGTAGAAAACCATTCATACAGCAACTTTAACAAATAACAGTTAACACCAACTTCACAGACAATTTAGCTTTCGCTCAGCTCTAAACCCAAGTCATTTGCCAAAGTGCCGCCAAATATTGACAATTGTGCGTTCCAATTAAGTTTGGCAACAGCGGCACAGGCAAAATTCCACTTGAACAGGAAGAAAGCTTGTTGGCCAGGCTGCTCCAGCAAGTCGCTCCAATAGACACTCCAGCTGCTGCTTGAGTGCTTACTAGAATTCCGGATTCTTCCTTTCCTCAGTTCGCATCACCTCATCATCATTGCTTTCACATTTCTCCCCCTTGCGATTCCTGCTTACAGAGCTGTAAATAACACTGCGACTACAGCATATTTGTTTCTAGTAGGAGTAATACCGGCAAGTCTCCTTCCACAGAAGAGAAGTTTTCCTTGCTCACGCAGGGGTGAGGAGTTTGGCTCTAGATCTGCCGTGACCTGTGTAAAGTGCCTTGAAAAAAAACATTGTGAAATTGTGCCATATCAACAAAATGGAATAGAATAAAGGGAAATAAATGGGACTCTGGAAGCTCGTCGCTCGTCCCACGAAAGGCACGCTTTATCATCTGATTGGAGGCGCACTACGCAGATATGGCGCTTTCTTTAATAGAAGTAGAATGTTTCCTGTTTGTGCAGTACACATAGAGAGCTGTGAGGGGAACACAGCTGACTGCGGAGGCCAGTAGGATGGCAATGAAGACTTGACCAAATATAGGATAGTCCGTCACCACCGTCTTTCCCTGAAACAACAGATACAGTACATACAGTTGGTGGTCAGCCTTCACAGAGCAATTAAAGCAAATCATCCAATAATCAGCCTGCACTTTCCACTTCAGTGATTCATTTGCATCTGGATCTGTTAAACAAGAAACACCCATATTTTTGTGGGTGGGACTCAGTCGTCATCTGAAGGTATTCCCCTTCCACATACTGACTACTGCCAACGCCAACTGCCAACTCAATTCCTTCACTTCACAATCCCTCCCCGTCTCTTCTGGTGTACCCCGGAGTTCTGTCCTGGGTCCCCTTCTTTTCATCATCTACCTTCTCCCCCTTGGCAATATTTTTCACAAACTCAGGTCCTAATCCTCCCTCCATCTCTCCCTACCCTCTGCCCGTCTCAGCACAATGGGGTGCAGAGTCTTCAGCCGCTCTGCCCCCAAACTCTGGAACTCACTTCCACCCAATTTTCATAATATTGACTCTCTTCCCACATTCAAAACCAAGCTCAAAACCCACCTATTCAGACTTGCATATTCAACTTGAATCTTCTTTTATTTATAATTTTATCTGTGGTTTTATTGTTTGCTCTTGGTTGTAAAGTGTCCTTGAGTGCTGTGAAAAGCGCTTACAAATAAAATGTATGATTATTATTGTTATTATAACACTTTCGGGACGGTTACCCGAAGGGGAGTGGTTCACTTCTATCGGTCTGAAGGAAGCCTACTGTCACATCCCTATTGCGCCTCTGCACAGGCAGTGACTCCGCTTTGCCTACAAAGACCGTCACTGGTCGTTCGGGGTGATTCCATTCATGGGAGACTGTGATACCTTCTGGTTTCACTCACTTCCCTCCAGTTACTGAAACGTTTTAGGCTCTTTACTGCGTTTCAAATGTTCCACTTCTGGCTGTACACCAGTGATTTCTCTATTCTTCAGGATATTTGCAATGTCTCTGGTTGATTTTCCATGTTCTCTCTGAGCTTCACGATTACTTTATTTTCAACCATAAACGCCTCTCTGTTGTTTCCAACTCTAACTGTAAATGTCATCTGCACCGGCAACACCAATTCCAAACTAAACCTAAACATTAGTCCCGTTTGCTCTGTTGAGAAATAGAGGGGTTAAACAAAAAATCAAAGTTGTATGTCCAGTTTAGATTCAATTACTTGGAAAATCTTAAATGTTGATCTATTATCTTATTGTATACGTTGATATGAAACCCGAGTTTTTAGATCTTTTGGAGAGGAATACAACCATTGGCTTGGTACACTCTGGTCACATTCCATGCCAGAGGAGATGAAAAGTTGATGCATTCTGCGACCAGGAAGTCAACAAGAACTCGGCGACGTTAGATTGTCTGTCTCCACGTCAGTTTCTCCCCGCTTGGTAAGCAGGGTGCAGCTTTGGCCGCTTGCGTCACGAAGCTGTGCGTGCTGTTTCTCTTTTCCTCTGTCCCTGCTCGGCACCCAGATAGCAAGGACTCAACCTCACTCACCCATTTTTAAAATACTTATATTTATATTTTATATTTATTGACATACTTTTTGTCTTCTACTTTCTGCCTTTCACAATTTTGCTGCTGTAAATTGGGAATTTCCCCACTGTGAGAAAAATAAAGGTTTTCTTATCTTATCTTGTCTTATCTTATCTTAATGTGCTAGGAGGGACTTGAACTGATGTTTTGTTAACATCCTAAAAAAAAAAATTAGGTATGCATAAGCTTATGTAATGCAGCCCACTTTTTCATAAAACTGAAGACAATGCAAGCTAAGGTACAACAAATGTCATATTGTGCCGTATTTATAAAATGTTGGAGGCTGTAAATGTAAATGTTCTGTTCACACATTTACACAGGATTCATAATTTGTTGTCATGTAGAAAAAATTAAAAAAAAAAAGTTTACCAGCTCCTTGTCCCATGCTTGGTAGGTGGGTGTCCCTCCTCTGATATAATTGACAATATAGAAGATGAAGAGGGCTATTAGGAGAAGAGGACTGACTATCATCCACATGATCTTCAAATACCAGTTTGGACGGTGGCCAAGCATGTCTTCTATGTCTTTTTCGAACCTACAATGAGTAGAGTATCATTTCAGCAAGCATTACAATTGTTATTGTTACATTGTAGCACAATGTATATTGAACAATGCTAGCATACCAACCTTTTAATTCCGTAAAGGTAGCTGACAGTTATAATCTCAATGAGGACGACAAATAGCAGGGAGAAAGATGCTCCGTAGTCATTGAACATGGTAAACCAGTAATTTCCAGATGGGGTGGTGAAGGCCAGGCCAAGCAGCAGAAAGATCAGACACAATATCCCTGCAAGGAAAACACAGAGCACGCAGGTAATGCACAGTCCAAGGGAAAGAACACTGAGAGTGCAGTGGGCCAATAAAATTTGGGGCATCTCTGCTGATTTTTTTGTTTGAGGGCCGCATACAGAAAAACGTAAGGTTGAAAGGGCCACTTTAAAATTCTTCTACTTTTTGAAAGGCACTAAAGTCAGTCAAGAAAGTTGTTGTTTGTATTGTCTCTTTCAGGGGTGTCAAACTCATTTTTGTCGGGGGCCATTTTGGAGTTACATCCTCCCTCGGAGGGCCGTTAAGACCATGAAACCGAATAAATGTTTAATCATCACGTCGTATTATTACTTGTAGACACCCAAAAAAAAATGTCTCACTTGTGCTGAAATCAGTCAAGCATTTGTTCAATTATTGCTCAAGTGAGTATAAACAGAGTAACAACACTATTGCAAAATGTCACCGTTATTTATTACGTCTGACAATTTGAGATTTCGGAACAGATTCAAGCAAGGATCATGGAAGTTGACTAAGATAGATGATTTGCTTTCACGGGCCACATGAAATGACGTGGTGGGCCAGATGTGGCCCCCGGGCCTTGACTTTGACACCCGTGGTCTAGTTTGTTTCATCAGCTTTCTGTTAAAGGTGTTAAGGCAAATAGTTGAGGATTTTTGGGATGGCCAACAGTCCTCTATCTCACAGAATAGATCCAGCTCTGCACAGAATCTCGTCTCCATATTCAGACCCCCCCCAAAAAAAGAAAAAAGCACAGACTGTAGGAAGTGACCATTTTTCAGTTACTTGAGGATCATCAATGTGATGTCTTCATAAATTGGCCAAAGAGCACAATACGGAAGAAACTATTTTTGGCCTTATCAATGGTTCATTTGTATCTTTGATGATCGAGAAAAGTTCTACCGTACACACTCCCTTCTCACTATGTGCACCTTCACCTTTTTAACTAACCATGCAGGTCATGTCTAATGTCATTTAATTTTTATTTAAAATTAGTTTTTTGTTGTCATGTGCAGCTTTTTATGTTGTGCAGCGTAAACCGTCAAATTTATGTTCACATACTGAGGCAGCTGTTGAGTGAATAATCCAGCATGTCCTGAGCAGAGTAATTTTAATGTCATAAAGGTTAAAAAATAAATACAAAACAATATCCACCCAAGTCTTACCATTGAAAACTTCATTGCTAACTTTGGACAGTATCTTCAAGTCTCGTAGTGGGGTGGTGATAGCAGTCATGTTGCCCAGCATGCTGCCCAATCCAATAAGCAGAAGCATGATGAAGTACAGCACTGACCATAACTGAGGTAGGGGCATGTTTTGAATGGCTTCACTGTACACAATGAAAGCCAGACCAACCCCTTCTACTGCCTGAAACAGATGAGAGGGAAAAAAAAATAAAAATCAGTGTTCGGTGATACAGGAAGAGTTTCAATCTACCTTGATTTGGCCCCCTGGGAGATTGTGGATTAAAATGGACTTTACTCAAGAAACACGTGGTAAAGGGTAGCTACTGGCAGACATCTATGATTCAAACAACTCTTTGTTGTGACTGGTGGTATTCATGAATGTCTGTATTTTCATTCATAGACAAGAGCATTATTACAGATACTTTAGAGTGAAAAATAATATATATATATCAGGTACTACCCATGCATTTATTAAAAACAAAGAAAACATTTATTGCAAGAGGAATAGAATGATGAAAAACAAACCGTGTCTAGTTCATCGTTTAGGTCACAGTCTTCCACTTTATTGCCAAGTTCAGCAAACTGCTCTGGGTAAGTTGCATTGAGTGTTTTAATCCAGTCAAGCACATTGCTCTTGTTGATAGTATCCTCTGCGAGGTTAAAGGAATTTAGCAGCAATATGCGCATCCTGGAAGGGAAGACAGTGGTACTGTTCACTCTCTAAACACAAACATTTGACAAATACCAAGCAGTAACACAGTCCCTAAGACTAATGCCATCAGTTATTGAATATTTAATTTACTTTATTAATAACCAAGGGCAAATGTGCACTCACTACATTTAGATCTTCAAGCAAAAACAAAGATGAGGGAAAAACCACACTGTACACTCACCTCTCCAGGCAGTTCTCATAGTTAACTGTGGCTTTAAATCCATAGATGGAAAAGGTGACGATGGAAGCAAAAATGGAGGTTCCGCTGTTAATGATGGCGACAGTGAAGGCCTGGTGCTCAAAATTATTGTTGTACTGATTGTAGCTGGAAAACGCGATGAGCGACCCAAATCCCAAACCCAGGGAAAAGAAAATCTGAGTGGCAGCATTTATCCATGCAGTCGGATTGGCCAGTTCTTCCATCTAAAATCATGTAAACATACGGGTCAATACGCACAGAACACATTCGGTTGTATATTCTGCTTGGCCGAAATAGAAACACATGCTAACAGTATGTGGGGCCAATGTACTGATGTTTTTTTTGTTCGTCGACATATCACATCATAATGGCCAAATGAAGACATCCTTACCTTGGGGGTGAACATGTATGTGATACCATGGATGGCACCAGGAAGAGTCAAACCCCTGATGAGGTAGATAACGAGCACCACATAAGGAAACGTGGCTGTGAAGTAAACCACCTGCACAACAGAGCCAAACAACAACATTTTCATCCTGTTAGTCCAGTGAAGAAGTAATAATGTGCTCATTTTGTGTTATTTTGGGCCTTCACATATTCCAAAAGAGGGACCACGAGGTGTATAAGCAGAATAGTAATGTGAAAAAACAAGACGATACACTGGAGAAAAATGAAGAGCAGACCGATTTATTCATTTGTGCTATCGTTTTGTATCAACGGCAGTGCAAATTTTGTTTGCTTATAGTAGTTATCTCAATGCTTTCGCTTGAGGCGGGTGCGCAAACTTCTCTTACCTTCCCAGATGACTTAATTCCATGGATAATGAAGAGGTAGGTGATCACCCAGGCCAGCACAAAACACAAAACCTGACCTGTATGGATGCCTCCATTCTCTTCAATCGAAGAAGAAATGTTTAGTGTTTCTCTAAAAAAGAAGTACTTGGTCGAAGAAGCCTTTTGGCATTCTTCCAGGGGTCCTGTCAGGTTGGAATTGACAGGGCAGTCTGACCAGGGCAGGAATGACTGTGAATGTAAACCAGTGAAAGGTTAGTGTGAAGGCCTTCATGAGCTCAGACTTCCATATAGTGTTATATCTAGTAAATGATTCAATAGCTCACTTGAAATGAATTAAAGAGGTACCAGAAGCTCCATGCATTGATGATGTTGTAGTAGAGGCAAAGATACACGGAGGCTACAATACTAGCAAGACCTGAAATGAGAGATTTAAGATGAAGATTATTTCTTTGGAATGTTTGGATTTTTTTTTTTACAGATGTCTGAGGTCTTTTTCTCCATTTTTTTCCTCAGAAAACTGGACTTTCCGGGTCCAGTGTATGGGTCTGCTTTTGCCGAACAGCCCCCAACAGACACAGAGTGCAGCGGAACACTCAGATACAGTACAGAGGTACAAACAAACGAGGCTAAACGTGACAAGTGTCCTCAAAGATGAAGTTATCGATGAATCATACAGTCCATGCGTGTGCATGTTTTGCACACAGATTGGTGTGCCAGCACATTAGTAAAGGAGGGCCAATGTTCTCCACAGTCTACACCACAAAGTCATTTCTGTTTCGTGCTAATGTCAAATGACTGACCTCTCAGATGCATACAGCTATCTACATTGTTCACTACACATCCAAATTAAAGGAGTAGTTTTTGTTTTTTAACAATGCAGCAGTACCTCTACAGTAAATCGTAGCAATAATATGTTTTCAAGTACGTACCCACTCCTCCCAAATATGGGTTAATGGCCGACCAGGCCCCAATGCTTCCCAAGCGCATCTTTTGACCAATGGCGAGCTCCATGTAGAATAAAGGCACACCCTCAAGAAACAGCATCAGCAGATATGGAATCAAGAATCCACCTGTTGGAGCAAAGTACAACTAAATACACTCTTTACTTGGTTCTATGTACTGTAAGTATATTTAGTATCACTTTCGTAGATTCTCCAGGTTCTTTATCCTTTTTAAAAGGGGAAGTCAAGGAAAATTTCTTTGGCACGATAATCTGTGGCCCCACTAGTCTAAACATGGTACTCTGATTAATATTGTGTTTATGAGTATGAATTTAGCAGTAAGATTCACCCATTTTTATCCATCTCAGGAGGCGGCAATTTTGCGACTTGCTGTTGATTTAAAATGACATCACAGTTGCTCAGGGCTCAGGTAATGTCCAATCACGGCCCTCTATGATGGATAAAAACGGGTGAATGTTGCTGCTTAATTTATCTCCTACACCGCAACCTTAATCAGCGCAGTTATTAGAATAAATTGTGAAAACATTTTTTGAGTCGCCTTCCCCTTTAAGGTAATACTGTAATTTTAAAAGCTCTCAAGCTCAGATCTTTACAGATGAACTACGACCGTCTCTATAATGTGAAATGTGTAGTACTGTACATTGAATTTGTACCTATGTATTCCACAGGTAGCCCTTCAATAAACCTTTCAGCCTTTTTTTGTGAATTTTGACAAAACAAATTGTTTGGTGTCGTTAAAAAAGCTACTAATGAAGTCATGTGACTTGAATGAGCAATATGGTAGCTGGAATGAAAATCAGTGACACGTGTAGGCGATTGAATACACAGATTCTTTTGACATGACACTGCTACAGCAAATGTTATTGGTTCGAAAACTAATAAAGATAAAGATATGCAGATAACGTACACTATTTGTGATGATAGGACTGAATCTTTTAAATGGATGACTTGCAAGTCATTACCAACAAACACTGTAACACAATGTCCCAAATCAATTGAAATTGGGTTTGTGTGTAGCTCTCTCTCTCTCTCTCTCTCTCTCTCTCTCATCCTGAATCTGACTTCACTCTCTCTCTCTCTCTCTCCCTCCCTCTCTCTCTCTCTCTCTCTCTCTCTCCCTCTCTCTCTCTCTCTCTCTCTCTCTCTCTCTGTCTCTCTCTCTCTCTCTCTTTTTCTCGGTCAAGTGGTTAATGCATTGACCTCACAGTGCAGAGGTGCAGGGTTGTTCGATTCCGGCTCCGGTCTTCCTGTGCGGAGTTTGCATGTTCTTCCAGTGCCTGTGTGGGTTTTCTCCGGGCACTCTGGTTTCCTCCCACATTCCAAAATACATGTATGGCAGGTTAATGGAACACTCAAAATTGTCCCTAGGTGCTAGTGTGAGCGCGGATGGTTGTTCGTCTTTGTGTGCCCTGCAATTGGCTGGCAAACTGTTCAGGGTGTCCCCCGCGTACTGCCCGAAGACAGCTGGGATAGGCTCCAGCACCCCCCGCGACCCTTGTGAGGATAAGTGGATCGGAAGATGAATGAATGAATGAATGAATGTTCTGTAAAGCGCTTTGTTCCAGCTGAAGCTGTTGTGAAAGCGCTACATAAATACATATGTATTGTATTGTATTTTCCATAAATTTCACCTGACTTTTTCTAAGTTGTGCATATATATGAATTGTTTTCACAGGCGGTATTATTTTTGTCTTTCATTTCATGCTACTGTTGTTGTGCTTGTATATCACTTAAACAGTTATGTAAGTCAGTCTTATGGCCTAGCTCTATTGTGTGGTGCTTTAACAGGTGGGAGGCTGCGCACTGTATCGGGCTCATTCATTTGCAATGCCACTCTATGGTTCAGCCCTAGAGTTTATGACATGTTATTGAGGTTTACAGCTTGCCTCAACTTTCTATAAACTCGAACTCTGGTAAGGATTTGTTTCGAAATTTTACAACCCACCAACCTGATATTACTGGAAATGCATCTTAGTCTGTATAATTCTATTCAATTCTATCAGATCCAAACTGATGGTCATCGCTCTTCCATGTTTGTTGCTTGCAATATTGATGTCAACAGGTGAGTAAACTTTTCATTAATTAATTTGGGTTATTTTTAGGGTCTAATGTTATGCCTTTTTTTTCTGCTTTGGTAACCCAACAGCAGTTGAGCAAATGACCTAAATAAATTACTTTAGCTTTATTCAAAATGGACACCACCTACCTGACAGTCACCACACACCAGGTCGGTCAAACCATGTTCTCCAAATGAACAAAGAAAATAAATATATTAATAATAACACAAACCTAAGTGTATTATAATTTTATATAATTAGAATGAATATAATACTGATCATTTTTTAAAATGAAAAAGCTTTTAAATTAAATTTAAAAAAAAACTATATGGTCAGATAAAAAACTGTTGAATGATTTTGTGTGGTTTAAAATTTGGAGATTCCGCTTTCACTTTACTAAAATGTTAAATGTTAAATGAGCTAAGCCAGGTCGTGTCTGGAAGGACAAGAATGTCCCCATCTACGCAAAATCCTGGGGTCGAATATAATATAGGTCGGCTGACCAAGAAAAGCCTGCAGCGTCTTATTTGTCTAAAGAAATTGCTGAATGTCTATTGTTTATTAGGTGTTTTATTTTATGGGTTGTGCCCACTTTATCTGCCAGTTTGCAGCCCTCAGTGTCAAATAATCTGTGCTAAAACGTCTCGCTGGTCATTTTCACATGCACATCTTTATTAAATTGTCGTTTCCAATTTTTGGACTTATGTTTATTTGCAAATTAATATTGCGTGTCTCCATTTGGCGTCACGGTTTTTTTAAACTGATCAATCAGTCAGTGGGTCTTAAGCGAAAAATAAGTTATGGAGAGCTTGTACGTAATAACATTCGAGCGTGATGATTTTAAGGATAAGAAAACGTGCCATCATTTCCTCAACAAACACGCAACAAGCCTCAATGACAAAAAGAACCAAAAATAACATTGTCAGATCTCACCTCCCCCGTGCATCTGGCACAGGTACGGGAATCGCCAAACATTCCCCAGTCCAACGGCATAAGAAACACAGGCCAATAGGAACTGCACGGGACTGTCCCAGTTGGGTCGGGCATCTTCCCCCATGTCAGCGCCTCAAGTGAGCGTCAGACGACTCGGGTGGCTCGTCAACAGGTTGTGTGAAGCGGTACGCAGTCTTCAGCCTTTTCACAGCGCCGAGATTACAACGTGAACGGTGGCAGGGGGCGTGGCCTCGAAGGAGCCACTTTATGATACCAATAATTGTTTTACTTTAATGCTGCATCAGTATTGAGTCACATCAGACATTTGCCAGATAAATACACACGCGCAACCACGCACGCACGTTCACGTGTCATACTACACGCACACACACACGCACACGCACACGCACACGCACGCACACGCACACACACACACACACACACACACACACATACACACACACACACACACACATACACACACACACACACACACATACACACACACACACACACACATACACACACACACACGCGCACACGCACACGCGCACACGTGTGCGCGTGCACACGATTTTTAATCTTGTGCGAAGGGATATTGGATGAAATGCAAACGGCAGAAAGCGCCGACCCATCAAGACAATAAAATGACACCAAATCCATTCTTGATGAACTTGAACCTTTGAAGGCTTTTTCAGATTTTTTTTTTTAGTCTTAAACTGCTTATCGAAATCACATAATTTACAGATATGCTGTATGCTTTGCATCTAATTACTGTGTACTGAAGGTTGGCCAATGATGATGACAGTGATGAGGATTTCATTAGAACGCCATTAGAATTCACAAGAACTAAGTGGAGGACAGTAACCTAACCACCACACACATCAAAACCTTGACACCATTCTCAAAGTAGCAGGAAAAAAACGAGATACACATGCACAACATCATCTCCATTCCCTGAGGTAACCTACTTCTGCTTCAATGTTGACATTGAGACTGTGGCTATACATTTACAAGCCAGAGCCATTATGTATTTTTATTGTACATTGAGGTGAAGCAGTTATGTAAATCTTAGGATTACAAATTGAACCTTTGCAAGGAAGACTACAATTGTGGTTACACAATGCCTCTCAATAAATGTTAGTTGATGATATTGTTTATTGAGAACAACTACTGCGATTGGCTGGCAACCAGTTCAGGTGTACGACGCCTACTGCTTGAAGGCAGTTTGAAACTCTGGCTGTGCATCCACTGCAATCATGACCTGTCACATTTGCCCATCCCGTTCCTCTATATTTTCTCATGACCATACCGTTTAGTCCACGGTAGCTTTCGTGATGAGCTACTGCTCTAATGATTAATAATGTAGACAAGCTGGGATAGGCTCCAGCACACCCGCAACACATGTGATGATAAGCGGTTTAGATAATGAATGGATGAATGTAAGAAGGCTGTTGAAATTTTTTATTTTTATTTTTTTGTACACTGTCGAGAAATACAACAGGAATCCATTTGTATAACATATAGTGCCGTGAGGTATTTTCCCCCTCTGCGTCCATCTGCAAATATGAGGACAAGCTGCATAGAATATAAATGGATTGCTCAATGTCAAAAATTGAATTTGAGGCTGTGTTAGGCGTTGACTTAATTTTGCGCCATAATGAGATGATTTACACTTAAATGCCATACTTTGAGGATCAGCATATTATGTTGCATCACTTATCACATCATGGTATTCATCTATCTCTATGCAGTAATCCCTCATGTATCGCGGTTAATGGGGACCAAAACCACCCGCGATAAACGAAAATCCGCGAAGTAGCGTCCAATTAACATAAACAGGTAAAAAAAAAAAAAGTTTTTTTTTTTAAGTCCGCAAATGGTCCGCGAGAAGCGGCAAAACAACAGCGAGTCACATAGAGCAACATAAACAGTACTGTACTCCATGTATATTTAAAAAAAAAAAAAAGAAAAAACTTAATTTTTTTTTTTTTAATATGTTTGAAAAAATCCGCAATGCACTGAATCCGCAATAAACAAACCGCGAAGTAGCGAGGGATCACTGTATTCATAATCATACCGCCTTATACTTTTACGCATGGTTTCAACAATTTTTTAGGATTTCCCTCCACGTCCCGTTTTTGATCAAGTTCAGCAAAGGTTCAATTATTAAATGTCTCTACAAGACTGTTCTGACTGATAATCCTCTGTGTTAAGAGTGATGTTTCATCCCAAGCTGCTCAGTGTTTGTAGAAAGTGTCTCCCTGTAGTCCCAAGTCATCCACCACAATAATAATTACAAAAAGTGGAGCACACCGCAATGTAATTAATTACCAGATAAAATAACAGCTACCCTTGACCTTGGATACATTTCTTCAACTGTTCTTTCTGGTTTGTATTTTCAAGGCATTAATCGGAATCTTACTTGAGTCGAAGGAAGAACATGACCCATTGCTATTTGAATGTCTGCAGGACACACACTGCTGCAATATGATTGGCTACAGCATCCAGGCGGGAATGGCATTATTTGACTGAAAACAAGGTAGCATTACGAATTCCACAAGTTCTTGGTTTTCAATGAGGAATTCATATCAAAGTAAGCATTACGATTGTGCAAATAGAGTCACAGACAGATTACTGTTAATAGAAGCATATACCATATTACACCAAGGTCTACTCTCTAACTCACACACTGTACTCAGTTCACCACAACAGAATTTACATTTCATGAAGTACAATTCATGCAGAAGTTCACACTATAAACACACATTGATTTCTTCCGATATGTACGTTGCCTACAATCCACAGTTAGCTCGTGTTACTGGACGACCAGGAAAAATATTGCCCGATCCCTGGAAGTAATATTGCCTAGTATTGTATAGTCCATCCATCCATTTTCCGATCCATTTTATCCTCACAAGGGTCGCGGGGGGTTGCTGGAGCCTATCTCAGCTGTCTTCGGGCAGTAGGTGGGGGACACCCTGAACCGGTTGCCAGCCAATCGCAGGGCACACACAGATGAACAACCATCCACGCTCACACTGACATCTATGGACAATTTAGAGTGTTCAATCAGCCTGCCATGCTTGTTTTTGGAAAGTGGGAGGAAATCGGAGTAACCGGAGAAAACCCACGCAGGTCTTCAAGTCATATTACACGATGTCCAGTAATACATCGAAAACAAAACAAAACAAAAGAATTAATTACAGATTATAATGCAGGTCTACTGAAAAACAAGCCCCTTACGCAAACAGTCGTGAAGTTGGTATTTTTTGGAGTATGACTGACACCCGTGCATTGTCTCAACACAAGGCATGACAAGTATGACTGGTACTTTGTTCATAGTAGGCTCTGCTTCAAAATGAGAGCGCCACTTCCTTTCCACAACACTTGCCATTACTAATGAGTTATTTCTGTATGTATGACATAATGTGCATTAGTGATTTTAAAGGATATTGGGTGCAAGACAGTGCAGCTGGGGTCAAAGGTCAAACCAGCACACATTCAGCCTGTCGGATGATAACCAACTGAAGATACAGCTGTGGTGGAAAGGTCGCGTCGGTGGAAATTCGTGGTGCTCCACATGCCACAACCTATTTTCTTTACTGTTATCGGTGATGTACACACTGTTGTCTGACACTCATTCGTAGTTAATTGTGTATAGATTGCATTGGCGCAACAATAAAATTCTCTTCACTCAAATTAGTTCCCCTCTGTCATTAGCTGTATCGTGCTTGTACTTGAACGGAAAAAAATATTTATCGGCCATGCTATGAAAACAACGTGTTCTCCTCATAGCTTTGCTGAAACACTCACCTGACTTTTTTTTTTTTTTTTTTGCCAGTCCTGTAAATGTCCGTAAATATGTCAGCCAACCAAGATTAAACTGAGTTAACTAACAACAAAGTCAAATAGATGCCAAATGCTAGTGGTTATTAGGCTGGCACAAGAAAATGTATTTGCAATGAATCAAATGATTCTCTTTAATAAAGCACTGAATGGGGAATATCTTCCTTCTCTAAATCTGTTGCATTTTTGTCTTTCATGATTCTTGCTTCATGTTCCTCTGTAGGGCTGCTGTCCTTTTTTTCCCCTCAATCATCAGTCCCCAAAAGCTCAATCGGTCATATAATTCATACTTCTCTCTAGTTATATCTTTTTTACATTGCGTTGTCATCTGCGGAGGAAAACTAATGAGCCTGTTATGGAGGCAAAAGTACAGATCTGTTGGGGAGTAAAAGAAAATAGTCATCAGAAATATAAAAATTCAAGTAAAGTATAGATGTGGGAGAATATCTGCTTAGGTATAGTACTACACTTCCCACCACTGCACTTTGGCGCTATAGGTTAAACTCGAAATATGAAATAACTGGGTCAGGAAATCACCTGAAGTGCACTGTATGAAGTCGAAGGCTGATAACATGACAATAAACATGTTTGTAACATCGCCTGAGAGAGCCATCCATCCTTTTCCTATATTGCTTGTCCTCATTCGAGCCACAGTTGAGTCGATGTTAGTTGACTTTACGTAAGAGGAGGGGTAGACCCTGGACTAGACACCAGACAATTACAGGGGACTTTTGCACTCACATTGAAATCCATGGACGATTCAGTCTTTAAGTCTTCACTTATCTACCAAACACATTTTTGCATTGTGGCAGGAAGTAGGAGAAAGCCAACAGCACAGGAGGGCCAGAGCAAAAGGCTTGCTAACCACAGAGTGGAACTTATTGGACATGCTATGAAAACAACGTGCTCTCCTCATAGTTTTGCTTAAACACTTAACTGACTTTTTATTGCCAGTTCTGTAAATGTACCTATGAAAGCACCCTCATGATCCCTTTTTAAAATCAGTCTCAAAATGAATTTTCATCCCTTGGTTTTTAACACAGCCTGACACATTCTGCTCCTGCTTGATGCAAAATTCGTTCATGGGAATTCACTGATGTTTCTGGAAAGATTGTTCATGCAGAAAGACGAATAGAACAGCTCCTGCTGCGTTGATTTTAATTGGGACAAATGTTCTTGCAAAGTCAAAATAAAGAAATGTAATACAAAGTGTCATAATGTCACTGGATGCCAGAGCCCAGAATTAACCCCTTCATGCACCAATAATGATAACCTGAAACCTGATAACATGATAAGCCGTTCACTGTAGTAATCGCTGTCCCTGAGAGAGACAAAAGCAGGAAGAGCATGGTTCCGTTAGCACAGGGGTGTCAAACATATGGCCCGTGGGCCGGATCCGGTCGCAAAGGAGTTTAATCCGGCCCGCGAGATGATTATGTAAAGCAGGGGTGCCAAACATACGGCCCGCGGGCCGGAACCGGCCCGCAAGGAGGTTCAATCAGGCCCGCAGGATAATTTAAAAGCAAAAAAAAAAATGCATTAAAGACACAGAATTAATATTTTTAATAAGGTGCAATTCATTGAGTATCCGCAAGGGGACACTGTTTTGATCAGAGAAGAAGACAACAGCAGCCTCAGTCCGTCACTGAGACAGACCCATGACAGCAGACGCTATCAATAGCACTCTCACATTTACACATTTAATAGCACTCTCCTTAGTTTGTAAGGTGTAGGCAGGGATTACATTTAGATTTTATATGCATGTGTAAATGCTTTAAAACTTGCTTTCTTTATGAATCTTGTTTAATCTTAAAGTGCATTACTGTATTTTTCAATACCAATTACTTGTTAAAGTTTGTACAATCAGTGGGATCAGTTGCAATGCATATATGTGAATGATAAAAGTAAATTGCACATTTGTCGAAGGAAATGTAAGGTGCTTCATGAAATGTTTTGTAAAAGATATGTTCATTAAATTTCAACATTTTCCTAATGTTCTTGTGCTTCTTTATACCAAAACAAAGGAAAGACACATTGTTTTGGTTATTTATAGCAAAGTATGGTATCATTTTAATGGTCTGGCCCACTTGACATCTACCGAGGCCGCATGTGGCCCACCATGTGAAATGAGTTTGACACCCCTGCGTTAGCATGTTACGGTCTGTAATTCAGAATGGATTAAATCCATCCATCCATCCATCCATCCATCCATCTTATCCTCATGAGGTTCGCAGGCGTGCTGCCACCTCTCCCATCTGTCTTTGTGGGGTAGGCGGAATACACCCAGAACTGGTCGGCAGCCAATTGCAATATACATTGTGTCTGTTAATCATGTTTCATGTGAACATCAAGCAAACATTCAGAAAATTTGGGAATATTCGCAGCAAACGGCAAGTTCTTGTCATATAAAATCAGGGGACGTCTATTCACAAACAATACTTTTCGTCATGATCAAAGTACATTTCTTCAACTGTCTCAAAGACTTGAGCCAATCCAAAGAAACAGATGTTATTTTCAGACTCAGCAGTCCAAAATTACTCAGAAATCTTTAAAGTATCTTTGGGACTTTTTTTCAGTGGTCAGTACGGTAACTCTGATTATGTTCTTCATACAATTTTAAAAATACAGAAATTCAAACAAATTGTTCTGGAAATCATTTACTGTTTGTTGGCAGCTCTACAACTGATTGGTTGTTATGAAGTGAAATGTTTTATTTTCCTCTTTTGTATTCATAATTGCTCTTTAAACAAGCAAAAATGTATATTTTATCTGATTCGATTATCAATAGAATTTTCGGTAGGATACTCAAACACGAAATATTTCTTAGCTGCAGCCCGACATTCAACTCCCCCGGTCTATTGCCATATTTTTATTGTTTAATAAGCTCCTTGCTTCAGGTGCCTGCAATTACCCGGCAAAAAAAAGTTGCTCGTCAAAATTAGAAAGTTATTCCTCAAATGAAGTAACCGATTAGCAAAGAAAAAAGTTATTTTGAGTCTTGGTGTGACTGCCAGGCTGACAATAAGATCATGTACGTAGAGCTGCATAATTGCAACAGTCTTAACTACTGACAGATTGATGAATATGTGATATCATTGTCAAAGACAGATGGCGCCAAACTGAAAATTTGTTTGGGGCCCCGTGGAGGTTTGGGCAAGGTCTGTGGATTAGTATAGATGACCAAAACGAAGTTAACTTCAAATTGGCTTTGTTATGGTGATCATACACAATATTTGTTTTCTTTCTTGTACTAGATTTATTGGATTTGCTAAATTTCCACTACAAATATTTGAACAAGAGGGTAGGCACGGTGGGCAACTGGTTAGCACCACACAGAGCAGAGGTGCAGGGTTCGATTCCGGCTCCGGCCTTCCTGTGTGGAGTTTGCATGTTCTCCTCGTGCCTGCGTGGGTTTTCTCCGGGTACTCCGGTTTCCTCCCACATTCCAAAAACATGCATGGCAGGCTAATGGAACACTCTAAATTGTCCCTCGGTGTTGTTGTGAGCGCGAATAGTTGTTTGTCTATGTGTGCCCTGCGATTGGCTGGCAACCGGTTCAGGGTATCCCCCGCCTACTGCCCGAAGACGGCTGGGATAGGCTCCAGCACCCCCCTTGACCCTCGCGAGGATAAAGCGGATCGGAAAATTAATGAATGAATGAGTTAGCAATGTACTCCTTTATGTGGTTAACAGTGTCACATAGCCTTCGGTTAATGGCCATGAATTCTCATACCATCATATAATGATTGCATTAGCACTTTTCATCTCGACACTGTTGGGGATCATGTGTCGACTGTGCGATTCTGAGCTGCAGCTGCATTTGTTTTGCCTTGCACCCCCCTATAGAGGGGGCAGATCTCTGCCCTAGATCTTGCATATTTCTGTTTCACACAGGGTGATTATTTGAGATTTTGACATGACCCTGCTTGGCTGTATAATAGGACAGCAAAAGAAAATCAGCGGGGGGAGCATTTTGTATGTGGAAGCTTAAGAGCCACCTGGTTGGCTGATGACGTACGTAAGGGGGACGTGTTTTGTAAGAACATAAACAATTTTACAGGACACAACTCTTGGAAAAGGCAATACTGTGCATTGTTGAAACCAACACCTTGGAAGAGATACTGTAAAATAGTTCTCTTGCGTTTCTGCTATTTCAAAGGAGACTTTTTTTCCATCGTTAAAAATCCTTATTTTGCTCCATAATTTGCAAATAAATTCTTTAAAAATCTGACAATGTGAACTTCTGCATTTTATCTCTCATAGTTGAGGTATACCTCATGAAGATTACTGGCCTCTCTCATCTCTTTAAATGAGAAAACTGGTACAATTGGTGGCTGACTAAATACTTTCTTGCCTCACTGTATTGTAGGTACAGTTTAGACGGACAGAGACTGAACACAACAAAGGAGTGTTGTTTACTAGGTTTTAAACAGATCCATGGCCTACTTGAGTACCAGAGTTGGCTAAGTGGTATGGTGAAACTGAGGAAGGATACAACAGGAATGGATGAGACAGTTACCCAGCAAAGCCCAGAGAGGTATTATCGAGATCAGAAAAATCATAGTCTAAGATTTCTAAGATTGGGATCTGAGAAGACCGGAGATGATTGATCGCAAAAGCATACACTGACTTAATGTTCATTGCGAGTTGTCTTCAGAAGCAAGAGGCAGACTTATAAAATATTTTATTGTTGGAAAATAGTTCAATAAACATCTTCAATCTTTTTACTCAGCTAATAGCAAGCAATGACAGGTTTCTCAATATACGACTGCAGTCTATCAAGCACCAAAATGTCCTTTGGATGAAGCATGAATAAGCATGATAACATAAACATATGTTCGATTTTAGTGGTAGGTGATTTTGGTCCATTGTAAGGGGGGCATGCAGTCTGTCGGATCCGGCCTCAGATAGGTGTGTTTCTGCTTCTCTGACTCACTCAAGCGCCAGCTCAACCATCAGAGGGAGGGGACCCTCATACTTGTTGGTCTTGATCGCTTTTAGCTTCTCCTGGTAGTCTTTAGGCAATCTGTTTTGCTCTGCCCCCATCACAATCACCTTCAAGGAGGAAAATAGAAATAAAATAAATGTTCCATTTAAACAGCCTGGGTGCTGCGATTGGCATTCGTAATGTTGCCTGTAAGATTACTGCAGATTTTATTTGTAACTACGGAAGTGTGGAACTGCAAATTTTGGAGTAAAAATGTTTGACATTAATACATATTTGCAAGTACATTTGAACATCCTTGTAAATATGTATTAAAGAAAAAGAAGCTTTTTTCGCATTTAGCCTACATTATACCAATATGTTTGAAGTTAGCAAACATTCTTTATTCTTAATTTTTATGGTTTTAGCCCAAGCAATTCTGCTGAGCTACAGTCCGTTGCCGCATTAACTAAGATCAGAAATGGGCAACTTCAATGATTGACGTGGCCACAATTTTTAATAAGCGCCACTGGGGGAGGTCACACAGGACCACGCACTTCCTAACCAGATGTAATGTAAAAAAAAAAAAAAAAAAAACAATCTTTAATAATCAGTCATCTTTTTAGAAAACT